GAAGACTATGAGTTTCCCGAACATGTCTTCAAACTCAAAAAGGCGCTTTACGGTCTCAAACAAGCACCTCGTGCTTGGTATGAACGGTTAAGCAAATTTCTTTTGGACCATGAGTTCAAACGGGGTCAAGTCGACACTACTCTTTTCATCAAGAAAGATAACCAAGACATCCTTTTGGTTCAAGTTTACATAGATGATATCATATTCGGTGCTACTAACGAGGTCTTGTGCAGGGATTTTTCCGATATGATGCAAAGTGAATTTGAGATGTCAATGATGGGAGAATTAAAGTTCTTCCTTGGGCTACAAATTAGACAATGCAAAGAAGGGACATTCGTGTGTCAAACGAAATATTGCAGGGAATTGCTTAAGAGATTCGATGTTACCGAATCCAAATCCATTGACACACCGATGAGCACCTCTTGCTATCTCGACAAGGATGAAAAAGGTAAAGAGGTAGATATCAAACGCTACCGAGGTATGATCGGCTCTTTACTTTATCTTACCGCGAGTAGACCGGATATCATGTACTCCGTTTGTATATGCGCTAGGTATCAATCTTGTCCTAAAGAGTCGCACTTGGTTGCGATCAAAAGGATAATGCGATATCTCGCGGGCACGTTGAACGTAGGTCTTTGGTATCCCAAAGGTTCGCCATGTCATCTTGTTGGCTATTCCGACTCAGATTTTGCAGGTTGCAAACTCGATAGGAAAAGTACCAGCGGTACTTGCCACTTATTCGGTCATTCGTTAATCTCGTGGTTTAGTAAGAAACAGGTTAGTGTTGCACTTTCCACCACCGAAGCGGAATATGTCGCTGCGGGAAGTTGTTGTGCCCAAATTCTTTGGCTAAAACAGCAACTAGTGGATTTCGGCCTTATACTTGATCACATCTCAATTAGGTGTGACAATATGAGCGCCATTAGTCTAACGAAGAACCCCGTTCTTCACTCGAGGACTAAACACATAGAAATTAGGCATCACTTCATACGAGATCACGTCCAAAAGGGAGATGTCACAATTGAGTTTGTTGAAACGAAACATCAATTGGCCGACATTTTCACGAAACCTCTTAGTAGGGAGAGTTTCTTCCACATTCAGAACGAACTTGGCATTTTGGATATCTCTATGAACTAATTCATTCTTGTTATTGATCTTACTAATTTGAGCGTCGGAGGCGCTTTGCAGGGCCTTTCAGGTATCTTGGCTCGTGGCATCAAACTGATTTGAATCTGATGTTTTTTTTTCTGTCAAATTTGTTTTAATCGATTACTTCTCAAAGAGGAATCGATTAGCTGCTTCTGTCAAACTTAATCAATTAACAACCTCCTTTTCAATCGATTAATTTCTAAAGCGCTTCAATCATAATCGATTACTCCTCAAAGAGAAATCGATTAGACGCCTCTGTCTAACCTAATCGATTAATAGCCCTTGTTTAATCGATTATTAGTCTTCTGCGCAAACTCCTTCGGTTCTGCCTCACACTTAATCGATTAAATCACTTTGATTAATCGATTATTATTCGATTTTTTGGGTTTAATAAATCGACCTGGCTTCGTCTTCCTCGCCACTTCTCTCAGAAAATCAGACCGAGGCGACGAAACCCTAAGTCTTCTTCTTCCATTTCTTCACAAATTCCTTCAATCTTTTCACCAAATTTCACCAAATTTCATCAATTTCAAAAAGGAAGGATGCCAAGGTGCAAGAACGCTTCATCGCGTCAAGAAACGGCGGCAGAAGAGAGTGAGAGGCCATGGCGTCGTGAAGGGAGCAAATACATCCACATACAAACCGGACTAGCCTTCAACACTGGGGCTTCAGCCGAGAGGTTCCACAACATGTTTCTGACAAAGGAGATCGTCTCTCCTAAGATTGTGGACAAGGACCTCTTCAAATCGGCGACCTATGCCCCGAGTAAGTCTCTTTTCTCTCAGCAAGGTTTGCTTCGTTTCATCCATTTTACGTATGAATTCTTTTGTCCAATAGAATATGCAGTTAAAATACGTTTAGAAGCATGGTGATTCCCTCTGAGCGGTAGAGAGCAAAGGATACAACTGCCGTTTTCGTAACTTTAACTATCACGGCCAAACTGGAGAGAGAAACCGGAAGCGGCTCCACTTTAATGGTTTTTGAACCTACTTTGTAAGGTTCTACTCCGTTTTTGGCGACAACTCGGGTTAGATTCTCGTGACCTCAAATTTAGAAACTCTAGCAACCCGAGTGTCATTAACCTCACTTTGATTCAACGCGTTCAACAATACATCTTCTCCTATGTTTTGTTGCCCCGTGATTCGAACCATGGCGTTGTCAACAAGGATGATATTCGTTTGTTTCACGTCTTGTTGAACAATGTCAAATTTGATTGGGTTCACTTCTTTGTCGTTGCACTTAGTGATGGTACTCGGTTTTCCCATCTCCGTTTTGCCATCCCGATCATGCATATCCTTGCTCGTAGCAAAGTGGATTTTACTCGGGACACTCAGGTACCGGTGAAGAAGACTTGCTTTATCACGGAAGCAAAGTTCACCCGGACTGTCTACCGCGAGGTAAATGAGCAAAATCTGGATTTGGTCATTCCAGACGAAGTGGAGAGAGAGACAGAAGCTGAGTCATCTCAGGCCGGAGGAAGTCGAACCACGGAACGCGTCACTCGTCAACGCAAGACTCGTTCGGGAGAAGAAGCACCATAACCTTCTTGGGTGAAGAGGATCTTTGATACTCTCACATGCATCCGAGACGACGTTCGCCAGCTCAACGAGAGGATGACTCGTTTCAAGCATTCCCGCTCCTACCGTGGCCCGCGTCATAACTTCAGCGGAGGAGCTCGTCCGGCGAACTCTCTTTGATTATTCTCTCTTCTGTCTTAACTTATTATGATACATTGCTATTTGCTATTGTTGTTATAACTCTTTTGATGGATGATGATGTTGCTAATTATGCATTTGATTGTTGGTTTGGCAATATGGTTCTCTTTTAGAACATATTGTCCCTTTGTGGCAATTCTTGTTAGAAATTCTCCTTTTAAGAAAACTCTTGCATTTTTTTTCTTCAATATCCCGGCATTGATTAAGGGGGAAGGATATCGTCTGATAATGCCAAAAGGGGGAAGGAAGGATAGTTGAGAAAACTTGTTTTTCAAAAACGTTTTTCCGCTTATTACTCCGATATTATTTTTTTTTTACTGCACTTCTCTAACCATGCAGGGGGAATTATATTAAGGAAAGTATTTCTTGAACTCTTACTTTGCTTTTTCTCAACTATGTTTGTCATTATCAAAAAGGGGGAAATTGTTGGACATGAGTTCAAACCCCTTTATTATTTTTTGGAATATTTTTTGTTTTGATGAATGACAAACTGGATGATTAAATTCAAGCTGATCGAAATTTATTTTTCGTATCGAGAAAAGCAAAGAAGTGTATCAAGAAGATTACGACGATTAAAATCAACGCTCACCCCTTCGCATTTTTTTGAAGTGAAGTGAAGAATCCGAAGACTTTTTATTCTGATTTGAGTCTAGGTATCTTTGTAAGGATGACAACATCTTCTGCATAAACAATTAATCTTGAGGGATAAAAATTATTATTTTTTTGAGTCAGTTGAAAAATTATTTTTGTCTAAAATATATTTTACCAAGTCAGTTTCAAAATAGTGTGTCAAAAGTTCTTAAAAACATTTTAAGGATTTACAAATTTTTTTTGGTAATAAAAATTTACCTTAATTTTTTTCGTGTACATCGTTTGACACACAAAATAATTTTTGGACTCTTTTTCTCTCCCCTACTCAAATTCATTGAATAGGGAGATATTATCCAAGGAGCGTCCGTTGTTATTCTTGTTGTCCGAAACAACGAGTTAGAAGCCAAACTGCTTCCAATCGCACTTGGCTTGGGCCCTTTGTGTTTGCGCATTATTTTCTTTTTAATCGATTATATCCTCTAAAGATAATCGATTAGATCCAGCGCAATTTCTCTGGTCATAATATTTAATCGATTATTTCTTTTCTGAAAATCGATTAGTTTGGACAAAGCCGCCTAATCGATTTGTTGCTTCACTTTAATCGATTAACAGGTTCTTCGTTGGAGTCCTCTCTTTTGATCATTAATCGATTAACCTTCTTGGTTTAATCGATTAGTTCGGACAGAGCCGACTAATCGATTTTTGTACCTCATTTAATCGATTATCTTTTGCTCTAATTCTCAGGCTTTTTCGCCTCTGTGTACCGTAATCGATTTAACATTTTACTTTAATCGATTAATTTTATCTGGTGCATATTCTCAGCCTTCTCCAACGGATTTATTTTCACTCAGCCTATTTAATCCCTCATTCTCCTTCTTCTCCACACTTCACTCTTGCACTCCAAATTCTCATTGAGCCATTGTCATCCCTTGCTTCATCTTCCTCATCAAAACATTATTTTTGAGAGTTAGAAATATTTTCTTTGAGTGCTAAAGAAGTTGTCATCCATAGAGCTTTAATCCTTCAAACACTACTTTGCTCAATTGTGTGAGCTTTCATTCTTGTGTTGTAAACTCAATCTCATTTGAGTGTTGTTCATAAGACTTGTGTGATTCAAGTCTTGTTGTTGTAAGAAAGTGAGGCTTGTGTGATTCAAGTTCTCAAGTTGTACCGGTTTTTCAAGCACCCGTTGAAGCTTGAAGATTAGTAGGACTTTCGAGAGAGTCTCTTGGAGGACTGGACTAGCCACGAGGTGGTGAACCAGTATAAATCCCGGTGTTCTTCTTTCCCTTACTCTCTTTACTTATTCCTGCGATATTTTATTTCACACACGCGAAAAACGCACATTCTTGAAAACAACTCTATTCACCCCCCTCTAGAGTTGCACATTTGTGTAACAACTTTTTGTTTATAAAAATAGAGAAGATTGAGGTTCATCGCCAAACATTTCTAATGATCTATCATTTGGCAAGTCTTAGTTATATTACTTACTCTAAGAACATATGTTAAATTTATTGTCCTTTGACGAATGTGAGGAACATCACCCTTTTGTTAAGGGTTGATTTCAGTTGTGTATATAACCAGTTGTATGCAATATATTATAAATATACTATAGTCTTGATATTTTATAGGTCATATGAGCTTTGTAAAAATCTCAATGTAATAATATATCAATGACTTGTATCTCCTGCGTCCCATAAAACTTTTCAAATATGAAAAAAAACATGTTTTAAAAATGTGCAATTTAGATATTATTTTGAAATTTTGACCCTGTTTTATAATGAAATGGGATATGATGTGCATAATAGATGAGTCAAAATTAAAAAATATCAAAATCATAAAATTTTGTTCGACCCCGTGCATGGCACGGGTTAAAATACTATACTATATTATATTAAATTTGAGAGTAAATCTCCTAGAATTACGACAAGTGGCAAGTCTACATGGCAACATTTTAACAAATCATCCGCCACCTATTAACATTTGAATGACATGATAATTTTAATCAAATATGGGCAGATCTAATTTAAGTTGTATACGGAGTATGTGTCTTATGTGCAATGTCGCTATAATTTTTTGGAAACAAATACTCTGTACCAGAATAGGAATAAACATGGAAAAAATACCAAAATAAAAATGTATATTTTTTATCTCCAAATAGGAGCTACGAAATATTAAGAGATTCCTTAGTTTCAAAAAGAAGTTATTGGTAATGCATTTCTATCGAAAGACAATGTTTGTTCTATATATCGAGGTTAAACTATATACAAACTTACAAGAAAAGTCCATTGAAAAGATCAACTATATACAAACTTACAAGAAAAGTCAATTGAAAAGATCAAATCCATACACAAAGGGAGTATTACTGAAGAAATTAGAACCTACATGAAATTTTTTGCAATTGAGTGAGATCTAAAATTAATTTTTTTTGATTAAAAATTTTATAAAATCAACTTCTAAAATAATGAAAATAATAGAATAAATTTTTAAAATCAAATTCTAAAATAATAGTTACATTTTTTCACATAAAATTTTAAAAAAATATCACGTAAAAATAATCACATGTATATTACATCCAAAACTTTTTTCACTTCATATGAATGTATTTTTAAATAGCAAAACAAATATGGTTGCAAAGGTTTTCACAAAGAAAATTACAAAAACATTTTAAAATAATAATAGGTATTTCACTTTTGACTTCATTGAAGTCACAACTACTATTTAAAAATACACAAAAACATATTCGCATGGGATATAAACAACAAAATAATATTTGCAAAAAAATGAATCACGTATTTTTCATACGAGAATTTTTTAAAATTCTACATAGATATGAAGCGGGAATCGGAGGCGAGGCCATCCTCACTCGAAATTTACTAGCATGAACATGAGTGGCTAATAATAGAGGGACACAAAACATTATGGTGCCCTTAAATGCAAAATTGGGATAAAATTATAATTATTATAACGGAGACCTAAATTAGAAAAAGGTTAATTCAAAAGGGTCAGTTTGAAAAATTACTCTATATTTAAATGTTGAAAATACCTAAATTTCCTCCATTGAACATCCATTTAACAAACGTATACGCATGACACTGAGTGAATAAATCTCAACTATAAAGTACTACATTGATAATTATTGCTTAATAAAACTAATTTTGGAAATTACCTAATTCGAAAAGACTATTTTAAGATTATCCAAAGAAATTTATAATTTATAATAAGTTCGAGACTCAGTTACAGGTTACAACCAGATCAAAGAAAATACGATTTCCAATTTGTAATTATTTTTATTTTGATAAAACATTTTATATCTTGACTTGAATACTATCTCGATATAAAATTACATATTTTACTCATAGAGATTTATGATCATTAATTCAAGATTTTCTTAATAATGCATGAAAGAATAATAATATTTTATAATCATTGCGGGGGAGGGGGATAGTTGGGATTATGGATGAGAAGAATCTTATTTTTTTTATTCTCCGTCTCTGAGTATTTGTCGAGTTTTGACTTTTTCCGATTAATTATTTTTAACATTTGACTTATAATTAAATAAAATATATATTATATATTAAGTAGATAAAATAATATTTTGAAAATGAATGATATAATAAATCAAATAAAACTGATTTTGTATTAATATATCATTTTTATTTAATTTGGGGTCAAATTTACCAATTTTGACCAAAAAAATCAAGTGAAGAAATCAGGGACAAAGGGAGTATATAATTTTAAGGTTGGTAATTTAGGTTTTTTAAATTAATGTGAGGAAAAAAAATCATTGGATCAGTAATACTTTTTTTATTAATATATTTTTGAATTTATACAGGGAGAAAAATTATAAATTTGTAGAAATACATCGAACCTAGATCATTTATATTGACCTTCAAATAATATGCCAAATAAAAATCAAGATCTACATATTAGAATCGAAAAAAATTTTGTCCGAACCCGTGCGTGGCACATGTAGAAATACTAGTATATTGTTAAACAGTGGCACCGCTATTGTCACCAAAAGCCGGTGTCACTAGAACCCCACCGATTGTTAAAATGCTTTTTTGCTTCAAAATATTCAAAATGTTCAAAACGGAATTAGGACAAATTTAATCTTAATAATCAAACTTAACCTTTAAATGTGAACTAAAATGCAAAAAAATAAGAGGTAAAAAATATGTACAATTCTGGACCTAACAAATATTTCCACACTTATGCTTTGTTTGGAAGGAGAGAAAATGGAGAGAAAGAAAATAGAGGAAGTGAAAACACAAATCACAATATAAATTCTCTTGTTCGGAAAGAAAAGAAAATGGGAGGAAGAAAGAAAGTAAGAGTGACTTTTTCCTTCAAAATTTTCTCCCTAGAACCGAAGAGAAAAGTGCACAAGGAGATGAGAAGATTTTCCACCTTATTTTCTCTTTATTTTTTATCCATCCAAACACCAATTATTTACCTTCTAATTTCTCCTCATTTTCTTTCTCCTAATTTTATTTCCTTTTATTTGATTTTCTCATCCAAACATATCCTTAAATCTTGAAACGTCCCCGCTTCAACCAATTTATGACAAGCTTTCTATGAAAAACCA